TGTGAAAGAATACTTGCAAGGCTTCAGCTTATCAATAAATTTAGCTGTCCGTTTGCAAAGGTTTAGTATTGTTCTGCCTTTTGTTTTCTTTGAACAATAGCTGTATGCATAATATTATTAATGTATAGGGTTATACGGAAATCTTGCATAATCTGTGCTTTGTCTCAGCAGTTTTTTGTCGAGTGAAACATTTTTTTTCATTTGATCGTAACATGCATGGGCCTAACCTGGCACTTCTTTTAATGTTTTCCACGGTGATTTTGAAGGGGGATGAGGAGTGAGAGATGCAGATGTCGAAACAAAACTAAAAAGTGAAGCCAAACATAGTGTCGATATCCTTTGATATTTTTAATCCTGACTTTTCATTTATTCAGTTTTCAGTGTCACAATGATGATAATTTATTATTATTTGCTCATATCATTGGCAGTAAAATACAGCTAAATACAGAGACATTGGGAAAATAAACTGTTTCCTTTTCTCAGAAATGAAAAACTTTCATATTAATGTTTAAAGCTTGTGGGATTTCTTTCTAGTTGCAAAAATAAAATAATGAAAGCACATGATGTCTTTTCATTTTATCAAGTTGAAAACATTGATCAGCCCATGCAAGGAAATCTGACAGTCTTGGATTCTCAATTCTACACCATGGATACTGCATTCTGGATTGTTTGTCAGTGGAACTTGGATTCCGGATTCCAATTATAAGTGGGATCTAGAGTACTTGACCTTTATTCCAGATTCCAAGAGAAAAATTTCCCAGATTCCGGATTCCCTTACATAGGGTGACAGTGATCCTAAGATAAATACGTTTTTTGTCAAACCAAAACCTGTTAATTGAGCTTCTAATTACTGTAGGCTAAGTGTACATGTTGTTCTTGTCACTATATGCTTGAAAAGGGGGTTTGTGGACCAGGTGAAATAGTGGCTGGCATTATAGTATTCCAAAACCAGCTGGGTATGATTATGAAGCAGCTATAATTCAGTTCTAAAACTTGGATTTAAAAAAATAAACTACTTCAAAGGGTGCATATATCACTATCCACTGAATAAACAAGAGCGGAAGGGGCCTGCAGTGTCTTGATCATGGGATTTTTCATGTAGGGATGTAAGGCTTTTGAAGTGTTGTGCGCCAGAGTCCCCAGTAGCATAGTGAGCTTTTAGTTGCCTAGTCACAGCCAATGAGTTTCATGTCACGTGGTCCCAAGTGAAACAGTGAAACAGTTTCCCTCCAGTTTGCCGAAGATACATCACCGAAATGAATTGACCAAGAAGGCCTGGAAAAATGCCACACAAGGACAAGGCAAGGCTTTTAGCTTGTTTAGGTGTTGGGCTGTGAGGTGGCAGCTGTTAGATGTGCTGGCTTAAATACTTCCAAAGTCTACTTTAAGGTGTTGGTTAGTCTTAGTCATAGTGTCTGTATCATAATCATATCATCAGAAATAATCAGATTAACCCAACTATTAAACTTATAATCGATTATAGTAGATTATAGATTTGTGACCCCTGTGTGCCACTTTCAACACTGAAAATAATTTTGTAAGTGAACAAAACAAAAAACCTACCCTGCAAGCCGATGCTTATCTGTCACATAGTTTTAAAAACCAACTAAACAACATATAAACTTCATTAAGAGCCCATCAAAAAGACAACACAGGTGTATTAATGTCCTTATTTGTCAACAATGTTTTTGTGAATTTTCCACAACAATCAATTGAACATTTGTATAAGAAATACTCACTTTGCTTTAGGTTTCTGATCAATGATAGATTATGAGCGATAATCAGCACACCACTACCAAGTCATGTCTCAATTAGAGTACGAAATGGCCCATCTGGGCATGTTTGACTTGAAGGATCTATTATCTCCAAATCAGATAGGAACTTTTACAGTGCACATGACTCAGATAGGACAATCAAATTTTTGAACAACTGGAGTCTAGCCTTTAGTCAATTTGCACATTGCAATGGCAAAGTGCAGCCCCAAGTAATATGTAAAATAAACCAAAGTCATGAGGGATTAAGAAAGTTTTTGCTCTAAAAATCAAATCTACTTCAAAGTGGAAAATACATTTTGGATTGCTATATTAGAAACAATGGAAACACTCTTCACCTTTTGCTAGCTATGGAAGCGGGTTAATGCTTTTTTCTACATCTGAGAGGCAAAAAAACCAATAATAACAGCATCTTAAATCCTGTATTAAGGCTCCCTCTCTCAAATAAGCCCTCCTTTTCAGTGGATGAAAGTTTTAACAATAAGTCCCCCTCTCTTTTAACCCCCATTCCACCTCCCCCCCTTTTCTTATTCTTCACTAATAAATAAAAGACTATCAATCAATGACAACTGTAAAACTTTGTAAGGACCAATCTAGGATGGTTTATTCACCAGCTGGAAGTTCGGATTTGTTTTTGATCCTCAGCTGCTTGACCTCCAACCTTCTTGTACTTGGGCTTTTTCACTTGGCATTTTTTTTTTGTGGGGAACTAATGACAGCGTCTTTGCTAGATTAAATAAATATTGCCCGGAAGCATTGTGAACAGGGTTAGATATCAAAAGCCAATAAGAAAGTCTAGAAACTGTAAAGGAGATGAAGGATGACAATAATTTTATTACCTGTACCAGATCAAGTGACAAAATATCCAAACTGAACAAGGAACTGTTTAATTTTCAACCAAAGTTTCCTCAAATTATATTAACAAAATAGTGTTCTCTGGTTCTTGTTTTCAGAAAAAAAAATTGTTTTTTGGATATCAGAGTTCAGTTAAAATGTGTACAGATAGAAAAACAATAGTCAAAAAACCTCACGAAGATCTGTAACAAAACTGACATAACTTATCGTAGTATTCGGTAAAGTGTCTGCGACTCAATTTAATGCCTTGTTGAATTTCGGAGCGGAAGAGGTTTTAGGGCGTCATGACAAAAAATTTCCTGGCTTCAGAGGTGTGTTCTCGAAATTCCTAAGATGAAATAAATTGTCCTCACGGTTAGAAAAAGCTCCCCCTTTCACGAAAGAAGAAAACTGAACCTCTGGCACTCAGGGTAGGCAAAAAAAGAAAACAGTGAAAAAAGACCGCTATCGAGAAATTATTAAAGTTGTAGACAGTTGTTAAGTGTCGTGTACGCTAGAACGTTCAGGCTTAAAATAAATGAAGGTCATTGAACAGAAAATAAGATCGCTATATCATTCTACCGTATTCCAGTGGCTTTTAAGTGCATTCTTTCATATTTTTAGCTTCTCTTGCGTTTGCCTTTGCCGCCATTTTGTTTGTTTTCAGTTCAGTCTCAAGACCTCGTACCCAGATCCTCTCAGTCCTTATCTTGTCCGCCATTTTGAATAAATTTCCACTCTCCGTGGACAAATCAGTCACGTGACTTCTGCTGTGTGCCAGGGTCTTCTCTCCTGCCGCCGCCATATTGGAAAGCGAGAAGACCCTGGGGACGAGGTTGGTAAGGGTGATCCTCGTACGTAAAGTGGAACTTGAGAAACCCGCCGCCATTTTGAAAAGAACAAAACAACTGGAGCCCAGGTCACGCTTGTAATGTTTGTGAACGGTTACCAAGCTTGCTGAAATGGAGTTATTCTTTCATGTTACGCTTGAACAACTGGAGAGCTGTATTTCCTCTTTTTTGACAAGGAAATATTAAAAAAGCCTTTCGTTTTCACTTCCCATTTACAGATTTTTGCATAGAACTGAATTAACCTCTTCTAGCTAAATCCTGCTCGGCTCTTTTCGCTTGTCTTCTAGAGCAAACAAAGCCGAGAGTAAAAAGTTAGCTCGGAGGCCGGATAAACTCATTCTAGCGCACCCAGAAAGAACTTTTAAAACTGGGCGTAATAGGATCTCGTCAAGCATTTCGGCTTAGCAGGCGCCAGTTTTTTAGGGCGAAGAAAAGAGTTCAAGGATAGGTGCACACACGAGGGGAGAAAAGGCGTTTTCCTCTCACGCGTTTTGTAAAAACTAACCGGCGCCTGCCACGCTCGCGTGCTAGCCGCATTTGAATTCTCTGCATTGCGTGGGGCTCTCACTGAAAATTGGATAGAATAATGGGACAGCTAAGCCCTCCAAAGAAACAGATCTACTTTCTAGTTGTCGATCCATGCCAGTCATACTTACTTTAGTTTGTCAAAATATCTTGAACTTTCCATGTTTTCTCTCGTGCTCTGGGTCATGAAAATGCGCGGTCTTCCTCCTTATCTGAAACTGGGTTGCGGAAGTTTGTCCTCCTTTCAGACAGTTTTCAGACTAGGCGTGGTTGTCTATAAATCTACACTCCATATCTCCTAGAAACGAAAAAACAATGCTCAGTGATCATGAGGGAGTGCAATCGAGTTTCACCAAGGCTCATGGCTTCACTAATATCTGTTGTGAACTTGTCCACTTAGTGATAAGGCCTTTTTTGGGGGGACAGGCGAGAAAATCGTGCGGAATGAAAATTAGGGAAATTGCACTAAGGCTTTCTTTCCAGTGCTCCCCGCGATGTATCCTTCCTTTCCCCTACTGAGCGCCATTTCCTGCCCTCTTCCTTAGAAAAGATCAGAGAGCGTGTTCAAGGGCTAAATTTGTCAAAAGAGAAACAAAAGACAGGAAAAAATGTTGGGTTATTATTTCCCATAACCTAATTTACCGAACGAAATGTGTTAGTGATGCTCTAAGTATACGTATTCAGATGTCCTCCACACGCTATCACTGTCGTATCATTCGTTATCCTTGTCGATCTCATGATCTCCAAGTCTGTTGAGACTGAGAGAAGTCTCTCTTTTTCTTCAGATTTTGTGAGGGGAGTGCACGCGCGTGGTCATTTGCGTGTCTTGCGTGTTTTGCTCGACGGACTAAGAAGAAAAAGAGACTGCTCTTAGACTGTATCAGTGTTCGGCAATTCTAATACTCATGATGGCGTGACAATCTGCGAGTGACATCTACGTCCTCATTGCCTTTAATTGGATTAAGCTCCTCAGTGCGTCATCGCACCCTATTGCTGAAGGAAGCTAAAACGCTCACGTTTTGACGTCTCAGTTTAAAACAAAGCATTGTGAAAGTACTAGGGAAACAAATTAGGGGAACAAAGGTTCTTTTAAAGACGGTAAGTTAAGCTAAATGTATCTAATATGACAAGCTAGGACAATCGCCAAAATATCACCAGTTAGAGCAGTACACGGATATGGGATATTGTAGATTGCTTATGTTGTCGTCAGATTACTTAAAGGTTTTTTTTAAGATAAGCTCTCAATAGTTTCACTAATTGTTATATATGTACTTGAACGAAAGCGAAAAAAGCAAAATCGGGTGATTCATTGAGAGTGTGACTAGTAGTGATCGAAGACAAAACTCATCAATGACAGTAAGATACAGTACGCATTAAGTGATTAATCATGTCGAAACCATGATTAATGTAATTCCCCGTCTTCGATTCGTTTTATGTTTGTTTATGCAGGTAAGCTCGCTGTTTAAAGATGTTGATCTTATAAGATTTTCACTGAAAACATTTTATTTTTGTTTTGAACATCAATTACTAAGAGCAAGTTATGAACTCCTTATACTGTAAGGTATCCCCCTCCGTCTCTGTGTTTGTTCCCGGAGAGGTATAAGTTAAATCAGTTTCGGTTTAAAAAAACTTAGCACATACCATTTGGTTAGTTCTCGGATAAATATTTTCGACGACGCAATTGTTTTCTTTTACGAGTATTCTTCACTTAAAAAAGTACTTTTTGGGCATATGTTGACGCACGTCGAAGCAGCTGGTGGCAAATTTCATTACAGTGTGTTTGCAGAAAATAGGGTATCATATTTGGGTTCAGGTCGCATTGTTTTTCCGGGATAAGACAACCCCCCCCCCCATCCGTGTGCGCTGTCAATATGATAGTATTTTTTAACGCAAATATTTGCTAAACGTTAAAAACAATCCTAATTATAGGACGTGAGCGTTTGCTGCAACGGATATTTTTATTTTGTATCTTTGCTTTGACAGTGATTTTTTGCACACAACATTTTCTAATCGAATCGAACTGGAAGTAGTTGTTAATTAAGACTGTGTTAACAGAATAGAAGATATAACCATGAATTATTATTGTAATTTTTACAGAACTTAAAAGCATGGACTTTTCACCTCTTCTATTTGTTCAAGCACTCTTAATTATGGGGGTATTTATAGACATTGTCGATGCAGGTGAGAAAAATATGATACAAGTAAAGAGCCCATAATATATCTGGATTAGTATGCATTTGACGTTAACAATCACTTAACTATTGAACCAAAGTCCCGGGGGTACTCAACAAAGTTTTACGGAGTGGCTTCACACTGAGGTCCGACCCCTTACCGGCTTTTATATACTATTTTTGGACGAAAAGGTACTCCTTTCGTAAACCTTTTGTTGACAAATGGTACCCCTTTCACATACCCTCCCTAGTTTAGAATTTTGCATCCCTTTTAACTGGTATAAATGAACTGTAAATGACAAAACAACTGTAAATGAACAGTAAATGACAAAACCAGAACGTTTTTCGACTTTTCTTCAGCCGCCATAAAATGCATCTGTTAGCCATTTTGGGTCATTTTTACTCACGGATTTCCCTACCCTGTAATTTTCTTTAACTGATGACATCCCACCCTTTCTTATACCTGAAGCCTTAAAAGAAACCCGTTTGGGCGGAAGCTTCCCGTAAAGGCCATTATAGGAAGTACAATACCAGCAAAATTACTGGTGGACTGTTCACAGTTCCCTATTTTCCCGTAAGATCGTCGAGATCGAGCGCTTTATGTAATGGTCGGCCATCTTGGTTTGAAATGTTCGAAGTCTAGCCTAAATGAACGTTAAATCTACTTAGAGAATGGGGAACGTACAACACCCGTCCTTTCGATGCTTTCAAAACCAAGGTGGCTGTTCGTAAGGCAAAGCACTGGATCTCGACGCTCTTACGGAAAAAAGAGGGACTGTGAACAGTCTAAGTGACTCGTTGTTTGAACCTGCTTAACTGACTTATAAAGTGTCTCTTTTCAGTTCCGGCGCCCCAGAATTGTACGTCTGCTCCATGTCAGCATGGTGCAAGATGTTTGGATAACAAGAACACTACTGGATTCACATGCGTCTGTTCATCCGGGTACTCTGGTCAACGCTGTGAAATTGCCATTAACCAATGCGCATCCAATCCCTGCAAGAATGGGGCTACGTGCATTGATGGCGTCAACAATGTGACATGCACTTGTGCAAAAGGCTTTAAAGGTATAGTGCTGACTAATGAGGCCCGTCCACAGGGATCATTTTGAAAATGGACATTCTTTTCTCTGTTTTATCCTTCCGTCGACACGTAAAAAAATGCACCTTATTTTTTGCACGAAAGTACTATTTGGGTTCACTATTTTTCGTCTCCAACTGGAGACGGGACCGCCATTTTACGTGGTCATCCGAGCCACGAGAAGGTTTGCCCGCTTGCAGTGCAAAGGAACTACCTTCATTTCTCAGCTATTTTAAGACCCTGAGTATTGGTCGGGCCCCGGGAATCGATCTCGCGACCTCCCGCTCTACAATCAAGCGCTATTCTGACTGAGCTAATCCGCCGAGGTAAATCTTTGGCGTTTTATGGCACCAACCCCCTAAATCGCAGGTTATGAAAACAACTCCCAGGGTGGAGATTTTTGAAAACGCCGGCCTCTCGTTTACTTGTGGACGGAAGAAAACAAGGGTTTTTAATACGATGATGTCATACATCATATCCTTCGCGAGAATATATTACTAGCATTACGCACACTCCGCAAAGGATGCTATCATATTTCCATCGTTTTATCGTTTTGATGTGGACGAGCGAAAACGATTTAAATACGCTACATGTGGATGCGTATTTACCTTTGCGAAATTATTTGAGGCAATGTACGTTTGTCCATATCAGACAGATGTGTTTCTTAGAAAGAGTCAGACAATATGACTAAACAATGGCCAACAATGGCAGGGACCAACTCAACTTCCTATCTTACAGGGGTTTCCGTAAGGAGTTGACTTTAGTATTAATGAAAGTAACAGCAAGGAACTGAAAGAAAAAAAACTAAACTAAAAACTAAGAAACTAAACCTTGTTTAATTGTGAAAGATTAAGTAGGTTGAGTACGATCGTCCGGGTGAACTTAGGCCTGAACAGGACTGTTGTTGTTGACAATGACTGACACTTTGACAACCTGTGTGGTAGTCATCTTCAGAGTCAAAGTGAGTTGTATCACGTCAGTTGATGGCATTAAACGCTGGTCAGGTGATAGTATTAAACGCTGGTTTGTTGTTTTAGTGACCAGAACTCATATCATCTTGGCGTTACCCCCGAAACGGATACCTTTTCGGCTTCAGGTACATGAAAGGGTAGGGGTTTCAATAATTGAAGTATGTGAAAGCGTAGGAAAATCTGTCATTTCGCTCTGTACAAGAGGGATTTTATGATTGTCAAAAAGTGGAGAAAATTTTCTAGTTTTGTGATTTATTCATATTTAAAAGAAAGTGTATTTACAACAGTTAAATGGGATGCTAGGTGAAAGGGGTACCATTTGTTAATGAAAGGTATACGAAAGGGGTACCTTTTCTGTCGAGAATGTTATATAAAAGGGTATAGGGGCTAGGCCCCAGAGCGGAGCCTCCCCATTTAGAACATTGTTGAGTACTTCCTGGGGTCTTTCTGTTGATAATAGGAGCATTTTGTGAAAGAACGCGAAGAAGAAGCTGTGGTGATCCCCCTAGTATAGCTAATGGATACGTCAAGAGGAGTAAGACACATGCGCTGTACAGTTGTAATAAAGGTTACAGAGCTATTGGTTTTCTGTTCATAAAATGCAGCCGGGGCAGGTGGATTGGAAGGACTCCCTCGTGTCTGTTGCCCGGTAAGTATGAATATGTAAGAATACCACGCGCGTTAATCTTATGTAAGGTCCGGTAGAATTAGCCAGTGTCCGCTGAGAAAGTTGATTGCCTCTCAGAAGGGAAAGGTTTGAGGGCTACGTACGCGCATTTCATTGGTCATCTGCATATGCGAATTCGGTGAGATAAGTGACAAATTATTATGATGATGATGTGCATGTCTCACAGCTATAGGTGGCCTTATTCCCCAAAGCATTAAGCTCTCTCCTATAGCCTTTGGTGTCTAGGGGTCTTGGGATCCTAGCTGTTCCCAACAAACAAGCTTTCTGGAGCAATGCAATAATCCCAGGTGTTCCCAACTTGCTGATCTACATCTTTAGGTGTTTACTCACAGTTGCAAGTGCTCCAATTACAACAGGGATGACAAATGCTCTTCTGCAATTCCAAAGCTTCTGAACTTCCACTTTTAAGTCCTGATAGTGGTCGATCTTGTCCCCTTCTTTTTCTGCTACCCGTGAATCAAAAGTGTAAGCTACATTGGCTCCATCTTCCCTCCTTTTCCAGCACTACAATATCAGGTCTATTGTGGTGTAAATGGTGATCTGTCTGAATTCTGAAATCCCACAGTAACTTCACAGGGTCATTTTCTAACACTGCCTCCGATTTGAGCTACTTTTTTGCTCTCTGCATTTATGGTGGACGGATTCTATTATTATTACTATTATTATTATTATTATTATTATGATTATTATTAGGTTGTACTTCTTATTTATTTCAAGTCTAACAATATTGTTCTCTTTGTAGTTCATATCCTTGTATTCAAGCCTGCTAAAGTGATTTTACTTAACCCGTGAAATAGCTAGTAGAATCCTACGCACTATTATGCACTAATTTCATAGTGTTCTTTTGTTTACTAGTAGCTATTTTGCAGTAGTTGCTAGTGTTTGTTTCACGGGCCAAGTAAAATCACTATATGATTCGAATAAATAGTCATTTATCCATCTTCCTTATTTGGTCCGCGACACGCCATAATGATCAATAATCTTTTTTCTTTTTAACAGCAAACCCAGGGCCATCGTGCGGAAGACCACGCCGCATACGACACGGGAGATTTACGCCGGACAGAGATCGCTTTGATGTCGGTACAACTGTCAGGTACATCTGTAAAGACAAATACAGACTCAGAGGAGTTGACCAGCTCACCTGTGGTACAAATGGAAAATGGAAACCGCGAAGACTACCCAGTTGTACAGAAAGTAAGTGCTTGTCTGAAGTAAAAATAAATAATTATAATTGTAATCAGTGACAATGACAATGATGATGACAATGACGAGGATGATGACGATGATGACGATGACGATGATGATGATGATGATGATGATGGTGGTGGTGGTGGTGATGATGATGATGATGATGATGATAGTGGTGGTGGTGGTGGTGGTGGTGGTGGTGGTGATGATGATGATGATGATATTAACGATCGTTTTCGATAGCCTATGGTGATAGCGGAAAAGTTCAAGGTTCGCTTGAAGGAAATAGACGACCAGGGGCCCGTTTCTCGAAAGTCCCGGTAATTATAATTTTCGGGCCCGACATCAAATATTTAAATTAAAATCTAAGGAATAACAGCGCAGGTCGGCGCCTAAAAAGCAAGTCCATTCTGTTTTGTTCTTTTACTTAACTGATAGTTTTATCTTATTATCTGAAAAACTACTGAAACCGCAATCTTGAATGTAAACAACAACAGCTCTCCTGGCCCGTTAATCAATTATCAGGACTTTCGAAAAAAAGGGACCCGTAAACCGTTACAAAAGACGGCACCATCCTTGAAATATAAGGTGCATAGTTTTCTATTATTTTATTATTGAGGTCAATCGTAAAATAATAGAAACTGGAAGTCCTCAAAATTTGCTTAGCGGTAGGCAAGGAAATGCGGTAGGTAAGGCAATGAAAGCGTAAAGAGATCGAGGGTCTTCCCGAATATTGACGTCAAATGAGTCGGCGTTCACCTGAGAAAAGGGAATCGCTAGACTAATAAAAGAAAAAATATCAAACCAGAAATTGCTCTCTTCAAACTGTAAATTATAAATGATCCTGAGAGAATATTCAGTGTGTTAAGGATTTCCCTGCTGTACTGTTAGCTCTATACAAGAGAGGAAGGGCGATTCTTTTTTAATTTCCGTTTCGCTGACACAGCTTTAGCAGAAATCTCTCTGTAGTCGTTTTTGTCGACAAAACGAATAGCAATATCGCTCTCCGCGTCTTCCATTTTGTTCTGCGTCAATTCGTGAAGGACGCTTGGCTCTGAGCGTGGGTCATCCACGCGGAACGCATTGGCGCTATGTGATTGGCTGTTGTCTAATCCCCCTTGGGATCTGTGGTCTTAAAAATAACTCGAGACGAATTACTTATGGCATAAGGTGTGTATGGGGGATGCCTTCTCTGTCCCCTTTATCCTCTCTTGGTGTTTGTGTAAAGTCCTGAACAATAGCTGAGGAATTGACAACCAGTATGGAAGTCAATCGTCAGCGGTGCTGGAAGTCGCACGTCGCGCTACATGTACTGTTCATAACTGACCGATTCAGCACTACACTTTCCCCCACGATCATATACATTCAGCAGACGCAAGTTACCTTTCTGTTTTTCTTATCTAGAGATAAAGTGTCCAGACCCAGGTATACCTGACAATGGTCAACGTAGCGGAAGCTTATTGTACGAAGGAACTCAGGTCCGCTTCTCTTGTGATGATGGCTTCGAACTTGACGGTTTAAGGTCGCTGGAATGCGTTCGCCTGTGTTATTCCTGCAGTTCTGTGCGATGGAATGGTACTACACCAACCTGCAGGAGAATAGGTAAGTACTTTTGTCCTACAAGTGACGTGTTTCCTTTGTGTCATTGAAGCTTTTTATATATTAAGGTATTGACATCAGCTTCCTCTATTAGATGAAGTGATTTGGTTAATTCGGGTTGAGTGGGTCTCTCTAGGCCTGTTTTTAAAGCCTTTGCGGTTACGCATTCAAGTTACATGTCTGAGGTGATGAGGCGAACCACTTTGCTCAGGCCACGCGATCCAAAACGAATTGTTCGCGAGGATAAATGAGGCCCGGGGTCTAGCCAAGAGAACCGCATTTACATTGTAATAATTCAAATTAAAGTGTCTGAGGACGCGTCTTCTGCATGATGCTGTTAACTAAAGTATTTGATCCTAAAATCATGGTTGAGATTGTTCGTGACCACAACCTGCCAGCAGAGTCTCCTTATGTCTTCCTGAGTTAGGAGGAGAAAAAGGGGCTCTGCCTGAATCACCTCAAGCTGCCTTTACCGTCGTCGAAGCCCGAAGTCCTGGACTATTTAATCCTGGACTATTTTTAAATTGAGAATCAAATCTCTGTTCTAAATAATAATAATAATAATAATAATAATAATAATAATAATAATAATAATAATAATAGTAATAATATAATCTTTATTCAAGTGACAAAAGTCATAAAAAATTATTAATGAGTTAAATTAAAAATTGCAATTAAAGTAGAATCATATTCTGACTAAGTTATAACTATAGCATAGCCTATTTACAAAGCAATTCTTAAAGGGCTCAGTGTTGACTATAGGAGGCTGAAATGTCTTTCTTCGAAGCCTTTCAGAAGAGTCCTTTACAGTCCGTAAGGTAGAGTATAGTGGATGGTGTTCGTCCTTGCTAATTTTATCATTGGGCTTTCTGTCAAATTGCAATTGTTCCAAAAGATCACATATACTTAGTTTGTCCGAGACGTAGCGTCTTTTGTGTCATCTCTTTAGAAAGCAATCCATAACAACAAGGTCAGCCTTGCTATCACCACAAATGTCGGACAGAATAAGTTTTGATATTTCTACAGAAGCTTTTAAAATAATCCTTTAATCAAACTACAACTTATCAAAGACGAATGATTTGTTGTAGATCCCTTGAGAGGGCTTCAGAGGGTCGCTGAAAGCCTTCGTCGACATTTTATCGACAAACTAAGCTGGAGTACTAGCGACAGCTTTGCACGGTCTGGCTTATCCTCGGGCGCAGAAGGCCTGGACCTGGTGTTTGTTTTCGATAGCTCGGCAAGTGTGGGCAAAGCGAACTTCAAGAAGGGAATAGCTTTCGCCAAAACAATCATTGATGAGTTCGGTATCTCGAGTTCTCCCTCGGGCACAAGAGTTGCGGTTGTTATATTCAGTTCGACCGCAAGAGTGGTATTTAATCTACAAACAAACGCTATGCCCAACAAAGATAGAGCTATTGAAGTTCTTGGTAAGTGTTTTGTTTTTAATACATACTCCCTTGCATCATCATAAAAGTTTATTTAAAACAAAATCTCAACCATTGTTTTTACTTTCGTCTTATTTTTAATGGTTGAAATGAGGTGTGTGAGCTGTCAAGGACAATGCTTTCCTATCGAATTGATTGAATTTTCTATTTCTGTCACTCAAATTGCTTATTTACAAACGCGTCGTCTTGCATTAAATCATCATCATCATCATCACCATCATCATCACCACCACCACCATCATGATCATGATCATCATCATCATCATCATCATCATCTTTATCATCATATCATTTCCTCACCTTTTTATCAAAATTATCATTATCAAAATCATTTTCTTGTGTTCTTCGTTTTCTTCTTGCCAACTTTTTTTCATTAACACCTCACCCACTATGGACTCCATTAAGACAACTCTTGCCCCCCCCTTATGCAGAAGTTTCGTTCCACCATCTTTGGAAAATTCATCAGTTGGTTTGCTGAAGATGTATTAAATGAAATAAACTGATATTTTTTTAGAAAACCTGGATTTTATAGCAGGAGGCACTGCAACAAGTATTGCGTTAAACAAGACCATCGAAGAAATTGTACCTGAAACTCGCAATAACAGCAAGAAGGCATTGTTCCTTATCACAGATGGCAGATCAAACATTGGTGGGGACCCTGTGGCAGATGCAATGATATTACGTGACAGCGAGGACTTTGAAATCTACGCTATTGGCGTTACAAATAGCGTGGATGAGCAGGAGCTGCGAGGGATTGCGTCGGAGCCGTTTAGAACCCATGTCCATCTTCTTGAGAATTTTGAAGACTTGACCAAACTGAAGGAACTTATCACGTCTAAAGGAAGTGGTAAGATTAAATAAAGTATTTAAAAGACTAACACTTATGCTTACCTTGAGATGCGATAGAACTGAGATGTTTTATTACTTTTAATACGGGCAGTCAATGTGAAAATGATTTAGAAAACAATCGTGAATCATGAATTGATTAATATTTTTTTGCCCTAATAAATTGATCAAAACGATTTTCAAAGTTTGAGTTTTGAAAACCGGTGGTAAGAAAAATTTTTTTATACCCAAATAGAGCAATAGTCAATATTAATTTCCATATGATTTCCATATCCGAGTCCGATCACCGAACGCAGTGCATTTTAAGTGAAAGCCTTTCCCACGTTTTTATGTGGCTTGTTATTCCTTTTTGCTTTGTTAAGATTACAGCGCATGCGGAGTTGCGGGAGATACACAGCTAAGAAATGACAAACGCGGTGGTTCTCGCATCGTGGGCAAAAGCAAGGCTAAACCTGGCGCCTGGCCGTGGACTGTAGCCGTTTACGTGAAAAGCAAATTTCGATGTGGTGGTGTGCTGATAAAAAGAAACTGGGCCCTAACTCTGGCAAGGTGTTTTCTCAACCATGCTAACATCGCACCAAAAGATGTTGTCATCAAAGTAGGTAAGAGATAATAAGCATTTCTAATATATAGAAGGCACTTTTTATGGGTCATTTCCTATTGAGTCTGTTCTCTAGATAAGACCTCAGAGCTCTCTAATGTATAAACAATGAATTTTCTTTTCTTGAAAACTTTAAAACTTTTTAAAGGTAGTTTGTATCCAATTTTTGCTCGGAATGTTTCGCAAAAGCCAACATTAACACCAAAGGAGCTGGTGTCAGCCACGGGGACGAGGCGGGCCGTGGCGGGAGCGTGAGACACGGGCGACGGGCAGGCGGCCCCTTTCTTCGCCTCGGCCTATTTCTTTTTTTCACACCCTCTCTTTTCGCGAGTCTTGCTCTCCATGTCCACCTGAAAACCCCCAAAACTAAGGCCAGTTTTTTTAGGCTATAAAAGTTCCAAACACTTCTTCAGTCAGCGTGCGTCATCATGGCGGCCGAACCGAACTGGGCGAGCTCACTACAAATTCTAATATTCCTGTTTATAACAGCAGTTTTAATTCGTGAAAGGATAGGTGACGACTTTCCAGAGTCCTACCAGGCCACAAGCGTCTCAAAGATGCTTGTAGCACCGGAATTCGTCTCAAATTCGACAAACCGTGGAAGATTTAAATCTCGTGCCAAACGATTTACTTCACGGAGGGTTCTATACACGGCCAAAGGAAAAAGCAGCTTCAATCTGGAAAGGGACTTGCTTTCGTGCGGGGAGGTGGCCACAAATCCTGGCCCGAAAGGGAAGAAGTCGATGTCAAAATACCCATGCAGTGAATGTCACAAGGCCGTTAGAAATAACCAAGACGCCATCTTGTGTGCTACATGTGAGAACTGGTCACACGCTAAATGCCTCAATATGTCTCGGCACATTTTCCAGCACTACTTAGACCAGCCTGATACTGATTGGACTTGTCCTGCCTGCGCTCTTCCGCCACTGAAGGACTCCTTCTTCGAAGAAGTTTATGAAGGTAATACGCAAATCATTGCCGAGGATTATCAAGGGGGAGCAACTCAATTTACGGCAGAATGTTCAACAGAAGGTGGATTGGAAGAGCATAACTCCGACGACGTCCATCTAGAATCTCTACGGAACCATCTCAAGAACGATGTTTTGGTCTGTCATATCAACATAAACAGTATTCAAAATAAACTCGAGGAACTGGAAAACATTATCAAAAAGATCAATGCACACATAATATTTGTTAGCGAAACCAAAATCGACAAGAGTTATCCAGATCGTCAATTTTCTATTCCTGGTTTTCGGATGTATAGGAATGATAGGAAAAAGGGCGGTGGAGGAGTAATGGTGTACATATCTTCCAAATTGACTTGCGAGAGACTCGCGTTAGAAAAGAGTTATAAAACAATAGAGTCTATTGCCATCGACCTCAGGATTGACAACAGGAATATGGTAATTCTTGGAATCTACAGACCACCGACAGTTCTTTCAGGAGACTATCAAACACAGCTGGAAAACGAGCTTAGTGACATTTTTAACTGGGTTAATCTCAAAAGTAATTTTGTGACACTTTTGGGTGACTTAAATGTGGATAGACTGAAACCTAACGCAAGCGAAGGTAAATTATCATTAAATCTTGAAGTGGAACAAGGATTTGAATGTCTTATTACGCAACCTACACGTATCGCCACCAGTGGGAATAAGACGACCAGTACTCTAATTGATGTATTGTTGAGCAATAGACCCGATCTATTCAAGCATAGCGGAATTTATCACCCGTCGTTAAGTGATCATTGCCTAATTTATGGAATCTTGAAAGACAAAGTGTTATCTCATCGGCCGAAAGTCATAACATTCCGAAGCTATAAGGACTTTGATGAATGTCTCTTTAAAGAAAGTTTATCAATGGCTCCCTGGCACGTAGGTGAAATCTTCGACGAAATTGATGATCAAGCTTATTATTGGAGTACTTTGTTGTGAAATGTGGTTGATGATCAGCTTCCCTTGAAAAAGATGAGAGTCCGCGACAAAGACGTACCGTATATGACCACAGGTTGGAAGCAAGCAATACGTGCCAAGAGAAGAGCTACAGTGAAATATAAAAACCATCCTACCCAAGAAAACTGGGAAAACAAAAAGAAATGCAGAAATGAGGCCACTAGGTTTGGCCATCAAAGAACATTGGAGAAAGAAAGCGGATGATCTAAAGGTAAACCCAAGGGACTTTTTTAAAACATTTAGGCCATTCTTATCAACAAAGGGTCACAAGGGTGATATCGAGATTTATCTTAGAACTGACGGGGATGTCGTAGAAAAAGATCAAAGCAGGGTCGCAGATCTGTTCGCTGATTACTTTGCCACAATTGCTGACGGTATTGGGGGTGATAAAAGCAAATTAGATTCACCGGAGGACTTTCAAGATCATCCAAGTGTAGTAGCGATAGCCAATAACATGCAATAACATCAGAAACAAACAACAGTATGACATTGAGCCTATCAGCAATGCCCATGTAGAACGTACATTGGAAAAGCTTAACGAAAGAATGGCAACGGGGTACGATGGTATTCCACCTAAAATCATGAAAATTGGAGCAGCTCAACTTTCGAGGTCGCTCGCTATCCTCTTTAACTCATGTATCAACAACAGAAAATGGCCTAGTCAATGGCAACGAGGTGAATGGATTCCGAATTTTAAAAGAGATGACGCTCAAGCGATTAACAATTACAGACCAATAACAGTTCTGCCATGTGTCGATAAAGTGTTTAAACAGCTGCTAGGAAAACAAATATCTGATAAATTTGAGAGCCAGCTCGCTGATTGTCAATCAGCATATCGAAAATATCGTAGTTGTGAAACTACCCTTGTTGGTCTTGTTGAAGACTGGAAAAAGTCAAAAGATGAAGACATGTCTGTCGGCATTTTATCTACTGACATGTCCAAAGCATTTGACTCGGTTCATCGGCCTCTATTGTTAAGTAAACTCAAGTCTTACGGTTTTAACGACAGCTTCGTTAATATGCTAAATAGTTATCTGAGCGATCGCTATAATAGAGTCAGGCTGGGATCTTCTGTAACTAGTGGTTGGAAAAGTGTTGTTCGTGGCTGTCCTCAAGGTTCCTCTTTGGGTCCACTGATCTGGAACATCTTCCAGAATGATCTTGTATATAACATTGATGCTAACATCTCGATGTATGCTGACAATCATCAGAAGTATATCAAATATATCAAACAGGCAAAGGAATCAGGGTACAGTCCATACCAAGTTAGAAGAAAGGGGTTTACGGTATTGCGGTATTGGGCTTTTTTCATGCGGTGCCAGTAGTGCAACTGACTGGTACGAAAACAATTTGCTCTTTCGGAGGGTAATTTTAGAAATCTTGAAGAAATATCAGACTATGTTCATTCAAAATAAATATGGTCATAAGAAGGAACAGTCTCAGTTGTACAGAACATAACACCTCATAACCTGAACCTAAATGGCAAGATTATCAACAGGACATCTGACCCAGGGGCAGTTGAAAATTTTGGGAGTCCCTGGGGACAATAGACAATTCCAAACGTTAAATTTCAACGAACACATCAACGACGTATGTAACAAATCAAAACTCGCACTAGTCAAAGGGTTGGGGTTTTTCGCGCTTTCAATTGTTTTTATGAGATTGAGAAACGAATCTAATTCCCTACCACCATCTGGCAAAGAGATTAGTACTTTTAAATGTGATTAAAATATGGGGTATCGGTCAGCTATCTTTGCCATTTTTTTTTTTAACATACTGCCCCCCTCGTTGTACCTTGTTTGGACATTTTTGAAAATCTTGTAGGACAATAAGTTAAATTTCAACGAACAATCAACGACGTTACTAGTCAAAGTTGGGGTAATTAGACTCGAAAGAATCCAGGAACGAGGACTTAGGGGTGTGTATAAGGACACTAAGTCCAGTTATCATCAGTTATTGAATAGGGCTAACTTGCCAACACTGTTGAATAGACGTCTTCAAGACATATGCGTCCTAATCTACAAGGTGTTCCGAAGCCATCACCAACATTTTTAAACCTCGTGATTCATGCTACAGTTTAAGAAATTCAGACTTTCTTTTACCCAGGTTTAACACAGTTTCATTTGGTAAGCATTCCGTTCGATATTTAGGTCCCATTTTATGGAGTAAGCTAGACAAAAATGATAAAACGTGTAAATCATTAAGTGATTTTAGAAACCGAATGCGTAATAAGGATCTGACATCTCTTATTGCTGATGGATGCAAAGGATGTCTTCTGTGTGATAGTTGATGTCTCATCGGAAATAATTTTAGCATTTTAGTACTCAGCTTAAGTATTTTAGCTAACAATTTGTAACATATTGTATGGATTTTTTTTATCTACTTAATTATTGTATCTATTATATTTTAACTGTAGGTGTCCCCTATTAGTAGAGGGCCTTCCCCTCGGCTAGTTTTTCTTTCTTGACACATAAATAAAATTTCTATCTATCTATCTATCTGGTTGTCGATTGCATAGGTGAACATGATCGAAAAAGAGAAGAGGGAACAGAACAAAACGTACGAGCTAAGAAACTGGTAATTTATCCAAACGCCAGCATGTCCCGGCTGGAAGATGACTTGGCGTTGGTGCGCTTGAGGGAGGATGTTAAACTATCGCCGTTTGTGAGAACAGCGTGCCTACCGCATTCAGGTGACGATTTCTATATAAGGACTGGAAAGCTGAGCGTTATAGCGGGATGGGGATCTTCTCAAGAGGTGAGAGGACGTTTGTTTTCATTTTCTTTCATTCTTCTTTCTTTCATTTATTTATTTATTTTTTGCAATAGGTTAGAATTTGAGAAAAGAGAAATCTCCCTTAAAAATGTTTTCTTAGAATCCGAGCATTCGATAACCCGTCACTATTTACTTCAATGGCTTAATTAAGGGATTAAATCAAAACGTGAAAACATGTAACATAAGTAATATCTTATTGTTTTGGATTTATCATTTTTCTCGTTTTCATTGAGTTTGAAACCATGGAATGCAACAGTCCTCTTTGGCTAGATTTTGTTGTCGGTGTTGATTTAATTCGGGAGCAAGACGCCTTATTACGAAAATGACGCTTGCAAACTTATTGTACTTTTGGTGAAGTCACAGAGAATCATCCCAACCTGTGCGTCCAATCTTAACTTGGTGAGAATCCCAGGCGTGTCCAGAAACCCACGGCAGTTGAAAACAGATTTTACTATATGTTTAGGAGTCAACAAATCATCTTTTTAATTATCTTTAATTAGGCCCCTTCAGATGTCGGAGGTGCCCCACTTCAGGTCCTGCAACAGACACAAATTAAGTTTGCGTCTCTCCGCGACTGCCGCAAAAATGCGACCAATCCTGCTGCAATAACAGAAAGAGTCGTCTGCGCTGGGAACTCTACTGGGGACAGAAATGCTTGCAAAGGCGATCGTGGATCCCCACTCGTGGTATGATTTTTAGAGTTATGTACATTGTACACTTTGAACATTTCAATTGCAAGGACCTTAATAGGCCATTTGCACGATGACGTCATTTTACTACTACGACCAGAATCCCTAATTCCTTTCTTGTGTAATTTAGGGCTTTTGGTATTTGAACCTAGCTGAGATTACCAAATTTGAATATGAAAGGAAAAGCGAAAAAACCTGGGAGTTGTTGTAAAACGGACGCCATCGTGCAAATGGCTTCAGTATTCGGCGAATGGAAAGTCTGTTTCATTCTAGCTCTTGCACTAGGGGACCGAATGAAAGAGTTTTTCATTGTTTGGAGGATGATGTGGATGGAGGTGTTTATAATGAAATCATAAATTTGACATCATAAGACGTTTTTGTTACAACAATGGGTTACAGCTATTGCCAAGCTATTGCTATTGTCGCTGAATAAACAATGGTGGTAACCGATTATGGACATCACGAAAAATAAATGGGCGGCGGACACTGGAAATAAAAGAGAAAATAAACGATTTTCGTATCATTTTCTGGTCCACTTATATCGTCTTTGCTTGCTAAGAAATAAAGAATTAAATTTTCCCAGTTTTAAAAACAATTCAAGACTTTTTTTTGTAGCAGTGGACGTTTTCTTTTATTCCTGTTGACGATAAGTGACACCATCGACAAACAACTTCGATAACTGTTTAAACACTGTAGCTACAGAACGTTTTCACATGACGTCATGGCGGCCATACAATGAAACTGAGACTGCCTTCTTACCGTTCCAAACAAATCCTATGGGAGTTAAAGTCTTTTCTAACTTAATAAAACGCTTTCTTTTGTTCCCATAAGTCTGCATAGATGCTGCCCGCGTGAGTGAAAACGCTCTATTGGAGAAATCCTTGGGGGATAGCAAATCATAATGACGTACACTCTTGATGATTTCATGTCTCAACTGTTTGCAGATAAGACGTTTAGATAATCGAGACAGCTGGGCAGTGGTTGGTTTAGCGAGTTGGAATCAAGGGTGTGCCACCAAAGGAAAATATGGCGTCTACACGCGCGTCGATAAGTATGTACGATGGATCAAAAGGAAAATCAACAGAAGGAATAAGAAAGACTAACAAGAGGATATCTCACAATTCCAGAGTCCAACATAGCAATATTATTTAGCAGTGCAAAAGAACGGACCCCAGTAGTCATATTTTAAGAAGATGGGTTCTGATCGTTCGGCTGACGTGAGTGTAGTCCTTAATAGGATTGTTTTCGACGGTGACTGACCTTTCTGCAATAGGCCATTTGCCCGATGGCGTCATTTTACTACTACGACCAGAATTCTTTTCGTTTTTCTTTTCATATTTAAATTTGGTAGCCCCAGTGAGGTTTAAATAACAAAAGTCCTAATTTGCACAAGAAAGCAAAACCCTAAAGGATTCTGGTCATAGTAGTAAAATGACGCCATCATACAAATGGCCTATCGGCGCGGTTAATAGCCCTTATTCACGATATCTGCCATTTAATTTTTGCACGCGCTTTAGGATTGATGGGAAAAAGCAACGTCACGTGTTTTCTTACTCAGTGGGGCAGTCAAGTGATAAATTTTCGCCAATACGATTAATCGTGGTCGAGTGTGTTCATTTTCCCAAAACAAGACGACGATTTTTGTCTTGCAAAAATTATGTACAGTTCGAGTTTCGATAAGTTTAAGGTTCTTCATTTTCTGTTCTCTAGAATAACCAAACTCGTCACCGATTTCTCCTTTTGGCAGATTTAATCACTTGTTTGTCCCCCCTGGGAAACCACGTGACATTGCCTCTATCCCATCAGTCCTCAGTTAAGGGCGTGCAAAGATGGTGGTTATTGTGAACAACGTCTATTGGTGGATTATGACAACCACCTAGATTGATCAAAACGTCGGATTAGACTGTCCCTAACTGTCGTATTCCGGATGGCACTTACTTAGATCAAGACGAGCTTCATACATGTATTTAACCCGCTTCATGTTATTTAGGTCACTGTTTGAGACAGAGAGAGAAAAAGCAAGGAAAATCAAGCACGACAAGCCCTTTGTCCTAGTAATTTAAAAGCGAGAAAGTAACTGATTAGCGTGAGAAAACAGCTGACATTTCACTACGCTACCATCGGTTTCTACGCGAAATCACGTCTGAGAAACGACTGCAGAAATTCTGTTTTGGTGATGACGTGTCACTATCTAGATCTGAGTAATGCTTTCCCATCGGTTGTGCCACGAGTGAAATTTGGTTTAACCAATCGAAAGCGTTACCCAGATCTGGGTAGCGACGTGTCATCAGTATGCATGGAATTTCTCCGCTTGTTTCTTAGGCGTCATTTCGCTGCGAAACCAGTGGTGACGTCGCGCAAAATGTCGGATATTATCTCAGGCTAGTATCCGACATTTACTTTTACTTTACTTTTTTTATTTACTTTTCTTTACTTTTTTAAAAAAAATGAATGGTATTGGCAAGCAAGTAAGTGTCAATTTGTTATAAAGTGAAAGTTTTCTTTCGATGGAAAAAAAGTAGCCTATACCAAGTCTTCAGCTTGTAGAGATGATAAAATTTGCCGTTAGGTAAAAGTAGACAAATGGCAATTTGTGTTGGACGTATTAAAGAAGAATTGTGTATACTAAACGGAACATTTAGGCAGCGTATATTTAGTTTATAAGACTAAGAGACTAGCCAAAAGTTTAGTTTTATTTCTCTTGGGACAATAATCTTTTGTGGCTTATTTTTGTAATTTTCTATTATATCTCTAACGTAATATTGCGGTACAATTTTCAGCCTGTTTTTTTTTCTGTCTGTGTAATAATTATACGTTGTAATAAAGATCGTTCATTCTTTTAACTCTTATAGAATGGAAATCGGACTAACCAACTCTCTCCGTCTACCTTTTTCACTTAATCGCGTTTGGATACTTAGTTTCAATGAAAGTCTTCGTTATGGCTGATTAAATAAACATTCAACATGATAACCCCCCTTTCTTTTATAAGATCGCCCTCTGCTTTGTGCTTCAAATTCAGCAGTGATCTTATGGTTATTTCGGGGATAGAGCTGAAGACATTTTGCTCTAACTGAGTTTAGGGTAGTTGATAGGTCCTGCACTTCTTGTGCCTTAAAAAATGTTTGAAACCTTTCTCTTTTCATCTTCAGGAATGGATTACTGGAGCGGAGGTTCACTTTTTGTACCTAAAAGGAAAATTAGACTGAGTTAGATAAAACGCCTTAATTTATGTAGCAACACCAGGACATACAATGAATTCAAATCAACATGTCGATTTTTTTCGCCATTAGGGACCTTAAGATCTGAAGACGGCGACGGCAGCGAAAACGTCGCTGAAAAAGTGAATTCGCGTTCTTTCAATCTTCATAGTGATTACTCCAAGTCACAAACTTTGTTAAATGTAGATGACCCTCCTAAAATTGAATTCCTAAGAACCATATCCAAGTTCAGAAATAGAGAGGAAATTTCGTCGTCGCTTGTGGACTTCCTCTGTAAAGAGTGTTAAATTAAGCATTTTCACGTCGTAGTCGTGCAGTGACGGCAAAGAAATGTACAGATAAGCGTGATGCGGGTGAAAAATTGTTGTTTTGGTTATTAAACCTATTGCTTTTTTGACGTCCTCGTTGCCGTCGCCGTCGTCGGATCTTTAGGTCCCTATCAGCTATTGTAGGACGGGCAACGTCGTTAGCAAATGTATGGTGAACAATGAAAACTCTCTTGGAATCTAGCAGGGTGCTAAGCGAATCCGCTCTTTCGCGCTCCAGTCGGGATCAACATTTCCCTTCCCGTTCCATTCATGTGCTAAGAACAAGCTTTATGAACTGTCTTTATTTATCCGCAAAAATTTGTGTTTAAAATACCACAAGCATGCCGATATAATACGAAATGTAAGTAATCTTTCTGAACCGTTGAAGATGTCATGCAGAAACTAGTTGCACACCTTACAACACACTGGCATGCTGATGGTAGCTCAGAGCTGTAAGCGCCGATGTGCGGTTCACGGTGTGATTTTTTATGCGGTACAAAAAATGCGACAGCTTGATACAGGTTACCCCATATGAGTCCAAGACAGTCTTGGATTTTGGATTCCACGTTGTGGATACGGGATTCCTTGTAATTGGAACTTGATTTCCGGATTCCAATCGTTAGCGGGACCCGAATTCCTTGAACTGAATCCAGGATTCCAGATTCCAAAAGTAAAAATGTCTCGTATTCCGGAATCCTAATTACCTTATACGGGGCGACATGAGTTAAAACACGTTACCTTATAAACTTCCAATGCTTCCATAGTCATATGCTGGACTTGCAGGACATTTAATCCAAGTCTCAAAACCTTTTGATCTTTAAAGAAATGAAAGCATACGATTTTAAATCCAGGCTAACAAATACTCTTAACTTATGGCCTGATAGTTTAGCATGCCGCTTTAAATTAATTTTCTTCAATAACTTTGTGAATAGGTTATGTTTGTCCACTTATACATTCCTTCTAGGGCTGATTTACTAGGGTGCACGCGCTGAAGCAAAAGGACAGTCTGTAGCGCACGAGCCTTGCTCTCGGTTATGTGCACTAGTCCGAGTAACTTCTATTGTAGGTGTTATTCACCGCGTTGGATATTAACCCATTCGCCCCAGGATATTTCGCCAAAAAAAACGCCTTTTGAAGCTAGTTGAGCTGTTCTCCGTTCACATCTGGCCAAAACAAAAAGCCACGGCTGCCCAAAACGTTGTTTATAAGTCGAGAAAAACGCTATCTTCTCTTCCCGATGCCTTTAACTTACAGCTTCAGAAGTTCGGACATGCGCAGAAAGCAAAATCCCCCCCGGTCATGTCGTCGATATAAGTCAAAGACTATTACAGGAAATTTATGCGTTTTTCTTCAGTCTATTTGACTGAATTCGAAGGGTGCTCATTCGGGTATGGTTAGACAGTTTAAAAAAATGATGATGTCACGGGTGGTAGGAGTCACTAGGATCCGCATGGGTGGTTTCAGGCGGTTCAAAAGATAATAGTAGGGTTTAAAGTAATTTTACTAGCTTTTAATTTTGTTGGCAAGGCCTTCAATTTTTAGATGCCACACACCTTCCACTTGAGTCGTTAAACTTCTTGCAAATTGTTCTACATTCCTGAATGTCTTGCCGCACGTGTTCCAGCAGAGCCTCGTGTTGTCTGTTCAATTTTTGAAAGAAGGTCAATCGCTTTTTTATCCGGTTCGTCGTGTCCTCATTGATACAGTTTCGGAATGCATCCAAGCGAAGTTTTTCTTTTTCGATCAGTATATCTTGTTGACTCTGTGCGTCGCGAAACTTGCTGAGTAAACCAAGAATCTTCTCCCTACACTCTGTACCTTCATCTCCGTTCTTCGCCACTTTTTGCCAGTTATGTACCTCTGTCCGGATTTGAACCTTTTGTAAATATTATTGACACCTTTACATATTCATTGCTTTAAAAGCATTTGATCTGCTCAGGGTCACTAAGCTGAAGAATCTTTATTAATAACCCCTCCTCCACCCGTCTCAAACCCGCCAGAAGGCACATTTTAAGCGTTTCAGGGTTAGGTTTTAAAATTTGGCAATCCTAGATAACTGAAACTATTGTTATCAGGCAATAGTTAGGACACGACTTTGAAAGACGGATTCGCCAATCAGGCCCTCTGTCAGCAATACGTTGTGATGAAACGTGGTTTTTCAAGTAATTTTAAGGTGTGGCTTCCCTTAATTAGAGGCCTTTCTTTCACAAGGCCGCTGAGTATGATGAAACTGTAGCCTGCGTGGCTTGCGAACCGCAGACGTATTTCCGGTCGTCGTTTCTCTCCACCCGGAGGAAGAGAAGGGACGTCCGGAACTACGTCTGCGGTTCGCAGGCTATAGCCTGCGTAGCTGGCAGTTTGCTTGGCTACGTACGTAGTTTATAGAATTTTGGTTCGTGCTTGGCATCATAGCTGACACGGTTACGTGATTGTTAGCATCCTTATTCTGAGCGCGTAGATACAATTTCAGTAAATAAACCGTCAGCGCTCTCAGAAAAGAAACGGAAAGAGAGAAAAGAGATAAAAAATATATAGTAAATTTAAAGAAGAAACAAGTCAATATCTATATTTGTTCGGTTATTAAGAAATCTGTTATTACAGTACCTGCAAAATTTTCTTCTGTTCTTGATAATGCTGGCAGAGTTTGGTAAAATGCTCGAACTTATAATCTGGTGGAGAGTGAACCGTCACCTGTACCTGGAAAAAACGAAATATCGAGGCATATCTTTGATTGAACTTACTACCGTAGTTTTCTACGTGAGATATTATTTGCCATCTGTAAAGACAGCAAATTTACTATTTTCAAGTCCCCCATAATACACTCTGTTTGACCCCCGATACATTTTGCTTTTTAGGTTGTTGTTTCAAATTAATGCTCTTCGGAAGTATTCAGTCCTCTCTGAAGCTTTTGGAAACAATACTGCGTTTAATTATGCAAACAACTGGAGTGAGAACAGAGTGCATTATGGGGTATTCGAAAATAGAGAATTGAGTGTGTGTTTTGGAAGCTTTTTATCCCATAAGGGACACTTTCTCGTGACTATCTTTTATAGTATGTATTACTGGCAGGCCTGCATGCTTTAGTAGGTCTATGTCTTCTATATTGGGCTTAAAATCATCGGGTTTGCAAGTCCTCCGTATTGAAATTATAATAGCGAACTTACCTTTTCAAAAGATTTACATAACCAACAAAATAGACACAGACAGACATAAGTACGTTACAACACACTTGTAAAAACAGTCCATACTGTTAAACTGTTGCTGTTTTCTTCTGCTGTCAGGGTTCTGTCAGTCAGTTACAGAGTGAACACAGACAGAAAAGCTGAAACACATGAAAACTACAGAACAAGCATTAACAAACAATTCAAGACAGGAAAACAATGTTCAGCTTTGAAAAATATCAAAAGTTTAAAGAAACCAGGCGAATTAAAAATATTAATAAAAAGGTTAAAAATAATATAGAGCCTAATTAATCAATGTTAGTATAGTTCATGTATTGCTTATTATCATCAATTGTCGGTCAACAGCTTCTAAGTTGATGATTAGTTCTATTACAGTAGGTAAAAATGAAATAAGTTACACTGCCCCTATTCTTTCTCTTTGGTTAGTTTCATGGAAAAAGTATTACTATAATTCCTTTCTTTTAATTTTTTTAAAAACGTTTTTTACTTTCGTAAAAACCGGATCCGAGAAGAGAGTGGTGAAAATGAAAAAATGATAATAAAAATAAAAGTGACCGCCTAGATAGTCGAGTTTTTAAGACTATCACGTGATCTTGGGCAGATTCAGAATAATGAGTAGCCTGGGACCAGGCTGCGCAGTTGGGATAAAAGGTGAAAAAAATAAAATAATAAAAAAAAAAATTGGGGAGTGAGCCACTGCCCTCTCCCCCTCCCCAGTCTACCGCTCGCCCCGCTTCCCTCGCCAAAGTTTTATGCCGTTTCCCTCAGTTTTTCACCAATTTTTCCCCACAGCAGAGCCTGGTGTCAGGAGTATAGAATAAGCTGTACTGTGTGTTAAACTAATCACGTGATCAATGGTGGATTCAGACTGAGCTATATATGATCGGTCAAACTTGTTTTGCCACCCCTTGCGCTTGCTTGTTTATACCCCAAGATATCCACTGCAAAGTGCGCTTAACAAAATTGAGATTTCTCTTCCCTTGCCCATCGCTGTTTCCCGAAAAAAAGAGTGAAATTAAAAAGAACGCCTGATCGTAGCTTAGGGTAATCATTACATGGATTCTTTGATAGCTGAACCCAACCCGAAATTTCCTAAAAATAGGCGACGGTGACTCGAAATATCTCATATAGACATTGCCTCCTGAAGGCTTGCGGAATTGTTAGTGTCTTTGAAGCATCACTTTTACTTATGAATAGCAATAAGGTATTCAGTGCTGGTAAATAAAATAAAAACGATTCAAATCTGAATAAGTTAATGAAAATAATACTAATTTACAAACCGTGTTATTATTTTGTTTAACAGGTGGCAATGCGGGTGGTTTATTGGCCAAGCCTACGGAGCTCATTGTTGTTCCCATGGCAACCTACTTGAGGCTTTGGTTCAGGGGAAGTAGCTTTGCTTCAGTTTATTCTGAAATAAACAAACATTTTTAGCAAAAGCTAAAGAAAATCTTTTTGTCTTCTGAATAAGGGAAGATTATTGCACGTATAATTCTTGGGCACATGCACAAGAAAGACGACACCTGTTTTGAAATTTACGGATTATCGCATTTTCTTCGGAGATTTTCCAATAAATTCGCTCTTCAAGGCCTTGTAAGATAACTGGCAAGGTGTGCTTTATTTCTTCTTTCTCTATTTTTCATGCATCCAAAATACGAAAGTGACGGCCGATACATTTAAATTACTTCCTTTAGGAATAACGAAACAACGGAACTGAATTAAAGCTTGGCTAGATAACTGTGGTTATCCGTTGTATAGCAAATTATGAACTCTCGTTTTTGCGTTTATGGAAAGAAAAAAAAAACGTATTGCAAGATTAGACCTTAACAACCAAAAATTGGGCACAAAAATTTCTTTAACAAAGTTCGAGGTCTAAACTCGGCATTACGAATGGCGCATATGCGTAGGTACGTGCAATTAGGCATATTGAAATTTAAATTGAACACTACAAGCACCTGTTACTGTAAAGGCAAAAAAACAGCTTGAGAATGGTTTAAATTAACAGAACGCTGTGCAAAGTATACTGTACCTGGCACCCGTAGTTTGTTGATGGAGGAATGAAGTGTAAGAAGCTGTATTCTGTACTAAACGGCTCAACAGTCAGAGCCCTAGAAGCGCGAAGGTTGAGAGGATTACGCTGGCGATGATAGTCTTCTCCTTTGAATTGTCCTTGAGAATGCGGATGTTCTACGTGGATATTTCTTTCGCTTGACTGTTCTCGTCCTTGTGTGGCTTGAAAGAGTGCTCTATGGGCGCATGAAAAAGCTTATAAAGTGAAATCATCATGTCTAACTTGTGCTGTGTTATTTATTTCGCAGTACATACGCCCAGTGCCGGGTATCGACCCTATGACACCACATGGGCACAAGTGAACAACCTTATTTTTAACCAGTAGATTTTAACTGGAAGGGCGCGTCCATGTCAGCGGTATTCCCATTAAGGTGGGGTATTTCGGCACGCTTCCAGTTTATTTGCGAGTGTTTTTGGCCGGACACCAGTTCTATTTGTTCAACCCTTATGGTATATTATTGCGAGGTTTTAAGACGGCGTTCAATGTCTAAATGCGGACGCCTCAAATTCTCTAGAATTGCCTAACAAGACAACGAACTGTACTCGAGGGCGACCTCTTCCTAGAACATGTGCTGTTTTCGAAATAAGCCGTTAAGATAGGCAACAGTTTTGCTAACAACGGACACACCTGAAAAACAATACGCAGCGCAGTTTCAAGACTTTCAAAGCTCACTGAAAGTTATTATTAACACCATTGTTTGTTTTTCAATGTCAACATCAATCAAAGCCGAAGCGAACTTTTTGATAATCTCTCAGACTTGCTCAGTCTAGCCTTAATTTGTCGTAGAGCTATTACACAGAACTATAAGCAAGGCCAAAAGAAACATTTTTTTGTAAAAAAAAAAAAATTTTGGAAGGTTCAATTTTTATACGACCTTAAACTATATGATTCGTTTCATTACAAAGAGTCACATTAGCCGGGATTGTTGAATTCTCCATTATTATCAAACTGTGGACAGGCTGTTTGAGGATGTGTAAAGAGAGGATGAAATATATGTAAATAATTATACAGCCACCTGTTGAAGGTGCACTCCAGGAATGCCAAAATAGACAAAAAGTAATATTACACACATGCTCAGTCGGCTTTTAATTCAATATCATTCTGTTACCTTGCTGAAAAAAAAAACAGACGCAAATAGATAGAAGACAGGACAAAAATACAACGGCATACTATTTTTACTTGTCAAGACCTCAATTACCAAGGCCCCTAGAAATGTACGAACTTGACTGGAGCCTTGGTGCATTTAATTCAATTTGACCTTGTGCTTCTAGAAGTACTCGCTACAGTCGCTACAGAGAGACTAAAACGAACAAAACCTTAACTTTGCCTCAAAAGACAGTTCTGAAGCTTCCCAAACGAAATGGAAGGAACTATTAGATTTTTCAAACGGAATTTTACTTCCCTTACTGTCCCTGGGGTTGGCGAGCGGGATTTACACATATGCGCAGTTAATTAAGTTTTAGGTATTAAGGTTTGAATAACACCTGCTTAATGTTGTACCCACTTGGTCACGTGGTACAAATTCACGTCGATATTTTGAAAAAAGGAATTGAAGCAACAAAGCTTGAATAATATACAGGGTTAGATACTGTATGTTTCTTGTTATTTCCCGACCTCGGCCGGTCCCTATAACAAAATAACTTCGGCGAGTTAGCTACATGTAAATAAATTTAGCAGTTTAGTTATATCTATGGTCCACATTCAATGTTTATCTGGCGTAGCTCGCCAGGTTTTCGGAAGAGACCCTAGCATTTTAGAAGAAAGCGCAGGCAGAGGTTTAATTCAGTGTAACAACAACATCAACAACAACATTTTATTTACAAAAGTGTACCGCCCACAGGTAACTCGTGTTAATCTTAGCGGGCCAGTCATTTTAAGTATAGGAGACAATTTTATTCTTTTATGTGCACGTTTGTTTAAATATCAAAGATTATTCAAAGGAGAGAGAGAATTTACAGTATACAAAGGATTTACAGTATATAAAGTTATCGAGAAAAGATGGTCGTATCAATTCATGCTTTACCTTAGAAATGGTCAAAGTATATATCAAAGAACGAATCTACAAGGAAATAATCAGTAGCGCGCTTTGAACTCTCTAATTCAACAAAGGTTTAGGTAAAGTTCTATCAGGCCCTGTCCACACTAATGCGTTTTCAAAAGTATGTTTTTTACCTTCGAAAACTCATCGTTCGATTCGCCTCCACACTACCGTTTCGATGCGTTTTCGACTGTCCACATTAAAACGTTTGAAAATTATAGAATTGCACTTTGTGACGTAAGATGAACTCTTTGTGCATGCTACGAACAGAGGCGCGGGTCTTCGTTTTCACTTTCACGCGTTCTGAACGTCCACCCTAATACGACATGTATGCGTTTTGTTTTGATCCACTTTCACGAAGTTTTTCGATGTAAACGCTCGGCAAATTAGTTGTGGAAGCGAAAGGCCTAAACGCATCTAAATGTATGCGTTTTCAAACGAAAACGCATTGTTGTAGATGGGGGCTCAAAGAAAATGGTATCTCATACCAGAGTTTTGCGCCTATACGTGAAAAAGCATGCAAATGCATTTGACGTCCATCTTCCTTTCTGAACCCCCTCCCTCTCCCCTTCGGGTATGTCTTTGTTATGTGGCATTAATGAAGTAAACGCTTTTGCAGACAAAACAACAGCCAGCTTAATGAGTCAATCTCTACTTAAATTGAGCTTTCCCAAACAGATCTTAAAGAAAGTTTAAGTTTTTCTCCTACCCAAATGTAAACACCATTATGGAACAAGCGAATCATGATGGCGAACGTGATATTTTTGCAACCAAATTACAAGTGATAGCTTAAAGTTCCCTTTAGCTAATGCACAGAGCTATAAATATTAACCGAAGTAAGTGGATTTGCTTTTAATCATCTGCGCCGACTCATCGTACATGTATGCAGTCTTCCGATGATCTTGGCGTCGATAAATGTCACAAATGTCGTATTGGAGGATCCTTTGATGTTACTTTCCTCATGGGAATAGCCATATCAATTTTCGGGAGAATTTTTTCCCGGCTTTCCTTATTTGCAAGGAGAACATCGGAGATGCAATTGGTTGCTGAATCAAAGGCGACGGTAAAATTTGATTTATTGATAAAAATCCATAATTTAGGTCGTTCTTGCACTTGACAAGTGCTCTAGGACCATATGACTAATTTATACTTTTTCATTTTTCCATGTGTCGTTATATATACAGTTTTTTAAAATAAGATGACATCCTAACTTCAACAAAGTTATAAACAAGATGAAAACCACGGAAAAGTACTTCGTTTTCCTTTGATTTTTGCTGCCTTTGAAAACCGTTATGATTTTGTTTTCATTGTTTCAATTTTTCCACACCAATTTGGTAGGGATGCTGACAGTGAATGCGACTAATTTTGAGGCAAAATAAATTCAGTTGACTTGCTTTAGCTGTTTACTTGTACTATAATTTTTTCAAAAAAACGCATTTTAAAGAATTTCAAATGGAAACAAAACTGAAAAATAAGTGACTTTTTGGAAGCTTGAGAATTTCATTTTGAGAGTTATATTATTCTTAAATAAAAAAACATGAACATTCTCAAAGAAGAAGAAAAAAAATAAAAAAAAATCATGTTTTGGCGAACTCTATTGAAAAAAGGAAACTAACTGAATTGCGTGTTGCGTACAAATGAAAACAGTAGATGAATTTTCCTTCTAATTACCTTTTCCGACAACATTTTTTTATCGCTGTGAAATGATGATAACCTGCATTGCAGTGAGCGTCTTGCCGTAGATTTAGAATTGAAGTTTTATTCCATCATCTCGTTCGATCTGGCTATAGAAATATTTATACAGTGTATGGTCACATTCTAAAGCGATAGTAGAGAAGGAGTCAAATGAATGTATTTTTTTAAAACCCATTGTCCCTTTGTTACCTAAATTATTAATCGTGTCTCCGCGAATTTAAAACATCATAAAGTAGATAAAGTTATATTGACTTAAGGTACAACCAATAGCAATTCCATCTTAATTGGATTATAAATTAATATTTAAATTCTCGGTTTTGCACGAAACCCAAAATATCGTTGCCGAGAGAGGAGAAAAGCGCGCGAGTCAGAGTCTTTTAGTTTACCGATTGTAAGGTTATTCCACCTGCTGGCATATAGTGGCTCGCAACTTTCTTCGTCATAGGCTTCAGTTTAGTGCCTTTTAAAAGAATACTTTTGAAGCCTTGTTCGAATGCCGTCCGAAATGGAAGAAAGCAATCTAGTTTCGAACCAATATCGGAAAAAAAGGCCTTAAGTTTTTTAATTTTGAAAATCCGTTTACATTTTTTGACTTTCTAAGTTTATAAATTATGCTCTTAATTTGTCAGACGTTTGCACCATGATTGCGAAAAGGAGTAACTATAAGCACATATTCCTTTAATGAAAGAGAAAGCGCAGTGCATGAGGATGTACCAGACAAGATGCTCTTGTTTTTGTTTGGTGACAGATTTAAGGCTATATTCACGCTATACCGGATAACTATTTCAAGCTATGCGGTTTACCGCATAGTATGAACAGCAACGGCACAGATCAGGAACAAGTCCCTCACTCACATCAAACAACGAGCGGAACGTTTGGCCGAGAGGGTTTGGTGAACTGCCTCCCAGCCCTCGCCCCTAAACTTCCGTCTTAGTACAATCCAGTCCTCTCTCTACTTATTCACTTCCGCTACGGTCCAAATGAACTGTCTACACTGCACCAAAGTGTGACACAGAACCTATCAGATATGTGACGCGTCACTTTCGAGATCTCAGCAGGCGCGGCGCAGATTCGCTCCGTAACAGAAATCGCGCCGAAATCACCGTTCTTTTTAGTTTACAGAATCCCTATGGTTATCAAATCATTTTACTTCTCAATTAACTTCGGAAACGGCAAGAAAGACACAAAAGCTACTGTATTCTTTCGAACCCTAGCCTGCGTAGTCTCCCTCGCAGGCGTCTTTTGCATGTCACACAACGCTCCTCCAAAAGACCCTTGGGGAGGGTTGCGTAACATTCAAAAAACGCCTGCGAGGAAGACTATAGCCTGCGTTGCTGACGTAATCTAACCACCCCTGCTAGTAATGGATCATTATACGTTTCTGGAATACTGCCCACCTACCCCTCCCCTAAGTCAACATTTTGCCCTAAGTGGAGAGTAAGTGTTTTCGTTATCTAAGGAGAGGGGTAGGTGGGCAGTTTCCCAGAAACGTATAATTCCTAGTAACTGATATCTGATGTGAATTTGTCTGGTTCTTTAGGATGTTGATTTTTCTCGGTGTTGTCGTGATGTAACATGCCCAAGTGCAGCGAAATCTGCCAAAGAATTGTTAATAAAAATGGAGGGCATTCAAACACAACTTCAAAACGAAGTCATTTTGTGGAAATTACGGCTTTTTCGTGGAATCTGCACAGAGGAAAGCCGAAAACACTTTTACGAGCTGTTACATCAGTTCACCACCTTAAATGGGATGCTGGATTCCTTGATTGACGGCGAAGTTAAGTACCTGGAAGACGTGGATCAAAAGCTGCCGAAAATTGAAGCAGCGGCAACAGAACAACTAGCAGAGGAAACCGAAACTACGCGGCATCAAAGTCGATATAAAGAAGCTGCAGTGGTAAATGCATCTGAACTGAAACGTCAGAAAACGCAGGAAAAACATTTAAGACGAAGAAAGAAGTTTTTCAGCAAGATTCACGAACGCAGCGTAAAGTTGTTGACTGTAGTACTTAATGAGGTTAATGAGTGTCGCTCAATGATTGAAATAACTTCCGCCAAGGCCCATGAGGTGTCTCTAAACTGTAAGATGGCACAGAACAGAACAGAAAATACGTCTTTATGTGTTCTGGAAGAATCGCTAAAGGAACTTACTACAACAGCCTGAAAAAAAATAAATAAATAAATAAAATAAAAGATAATCTGTCATCTCTTTTCGTCCTCGCTCAACATCAAGCCAGACTTCTACACTATTAAACTCACAAAAGGGAAAAGGGGACATGATCTGTTTGACCAGCAGTAATTATATACGGCCCCATATACATGTATATTTTCGTTTGCAAAGGAAAGTAAGGAAATAAAAAGAAAGAAAGTCCAACCTAACTTGGTTTCCTTCGAGTAAAATGTATCTTAGACCCAAAGGACAGGTTATTGGTTGGGACGGATCGTGTGTTCACCAGGCAAATTCATTGTTATAAAATAAATAAATAAATTATAACTATTATAATCATTAGCTACCTTAGCCAAAGTTTTGTGGGGGAAAAGAAGTAAGTGTTTTTCTAACTACTGTTGCTTTGTACTTTCATCAAAGCCAGGTGTCTTGCAAAAGAAGTAACTGAATAAAGGATTGAATTCCAACAAAGTAAGCTTACTGTTAGTTAATACTCTCAGTGTGTGTCCAATTACAAAATCAGGGAAAAAATACAGTAAAAACCCGAGAGTAAGAGCCTACATTTTCTGGAGTTAGCACAAACAGGTTCTTATTTAAATGGTAGTTAACACAATTTTAGGCTATTTAGGTTCTTAAATAGGTTCTTATTGCTGTTAGAAATAATAATAATAAAAAAAACAAACAAGCTCCAAAACAAGATGGTAATCAGCCTGTTTTTCAATTTCAAAATGTGATACAACAATATTAACCTCTTGCCCTTTATTTTTTTAATTACATTAATAAATGAGCACTTTCACTTTCACAGCAATGCCAAGCTCCTAATTCTCTAAACAGGATTCTTGCAAAGCTTTGCAGCTGCATTTCACTAATATGATTTAAAAAAAATAAGAACCTAGGCTAAACAGGTTCTTAATTTTCAGGTTGTTACCCGCGGGTTTTTACATAGTGTCAATTCAAAGTGTCAAGTCAGCCCTGCAGGCCAAAGTCTGATTCAGCCCTTCTCGGAGCCAATTGAGCACAATTTAGGCCAAAAGAGCTCTATCAAAAGGCTATTCCAGCCCACGGTAGGGCCCATTTCAGCCCTGGGACCAAATCAGCCCTAGCTAATTGGACCGTATTGGCCCTGATTTAAGGGATCCAAATTAGACCCAAAAATAGGACTGTATTTTACTCACCGAAACGGCCCTGTTTTTAGGGCTAAAACAGATCTTTCTGATTTAGAGTGTAGAGAACAAGTGTCATACCCTAATTATTTGAACTAATGTTGACAAAAGAGAGGAGGTTAGTGAAGGGATATGGCCATTGAAGATCACATTTCGAGTTTAAGTGTAACGCCAAGGTCTTTGACGGAAGTTACAGGTACTAGGTCTTGACCAAGGAAAGGTACGGTGATGTTACTTGGCAACTTGGTGATACGTTGCCTCACCCCAAACAGGACAAACTTGGTTTTCTCAGGATTGATCAAAAGGTGGTCAAGAATAAGAGACCTAAAAAATGGCGGATATAATGTGGATGAAAACAACTTTTAGCTGAAGCCGTCAAAATTACTGTGAATTTGGATCTTTAGTGAGTCTTCAGTGCAGCTATAAACTAGAATTTTTTCGATCGCCGTAAAGAAGATTTTTCGGATGAACATTTCGGCGAGTGGCTTCTTTCGTAGCTGGTGAAGGCATTTTTGACGTGTTTGTGTCAATGATACAAACTCCTTATACTTTGTACATTTCTTCATGCACGTGTCTTGCGATGAAATTGCATTTTCTAGCGTTGTATTAACCATTTTCTTCATCTTCTTTTGCAAGGAATAAATATTAGTTTGCTCCTAGTCTAGTTCTGATTGCCTAAAGTAATTTAATATGGTAGAATTAACACTTACAAGACTTAATACTCATTAAGCATTTTTGCTAACACATTCGTCCAGCTCACCTGAGGCAAAAAATTGGCCAGTCTCAGGATTCTTTTGCTTGTTATTCAAACCCCCAGACACGTTTCAGTAGTGCACAGAGCTCGCACTATGAGCCCACTCGACTTTCGTGCATTCGTTGCCATTGTTTCGAGTTTTTTTCGTGTGTTCGCACTGTGCAGTAAGAGTCTAATCATTGGTCTTAAAAGACAAACAATTTTTCGGCTTTTGGTGGCAGCGCATTCTTAAGAGGCAGCTGCAGTGATATGTAGTAACATCGTTCTCTTTGTTGGCAGTCCGACGTTCGGTGCATTGCTAGCGAAGCAACCAGCTGAACCGAAGTCGTAGCTCTGCCGCGCGGCAAGGACTTTGAGCACAGACACCCCAAACCATAGAGTTGTTCTTCTTGTAGTGCTAACTGTACTCGGCGTGGGTTTCTATTACTCAGTTTCTTGCAATAAAGCTTCAAGCAAGACTACCCTTTCAAAGCAACCAACACGCTTATAAATAGGTTCGAGCCGCCTTAAGTCTGTTTCATTAATTTCTAATTTCCGTTTGGAGATATCAACTTATCAAATGGTCATTGGTTCGAATATTTTTAAGTTCAAGTTATATAATGTTTTACTATGTAAATAAACTGTAATAAAATCGTCGTTTTATGCTCATATAGAACGTGAGCCTGAAAAACACGAAATTGCAGCCGTTAGGATGAACTGTGATCCCAAAAAGAATTGTCGACTTGACCGTTCTTGAGGATCTACTTTATGGTGTAGGGATGCCAGCACGACAGAGGTTTATATGAACGAATCGATAAAAGAGGAGAACAAGTGATGTCTTTTTATTGAAATTAGATGTCTTCAAAAAGTAGTTAAGCAGTAACAAAGGAAATTTCGCTATTGGAACAAAAATTGGACAGCTGTTCAAAGGTGAATAATTAGTTAATATAACTCATTGCTGACGCCACGAAATGACAATTCCTCTTATAATCAAAAAAACAAAAAAAACAAAAAAATAAAAAAAATTAATGAGTAAGAACCCTGTTTTTAATATGCTGTTTTTGATGCATGATATTTTGCCGTTAAGAAATCTTTTCAGTAGGGTCAAATAAAATTCACAGATCATAATTATAATCATGGCTAGGCATGCTGCTAAAGGTAGTAAGGGGAGCAAGGGTGGCGCAGTGGTGAGAGCGCTCGTCTCCCACCAATGTGGCCCGGTTTCGAATCCTGGCGTCGACGCCATATGTGGGTTGAGTTATTGTGGGTTCTCCCTTTTTCTCCGGGAGGTTTTTCTCCGGGTACTCCGGTTTTCCCCTCTACTCAAAAACCAACACTTCCAAATTCCAAGTCGATCTGGAAAGCACGGACACGTTTCAACGAGTTCGTAAGAACCCCTAAGTGTGCTCCGTGGGTAAGCAAATTACAAAAAAAAAAACTCACAAAAAAAGGTAATTATTATCAGAGAGAGGCAAAGTACGTTGGAAATTTTCAAACGCTCATTTACAAGAACCGGAGCAAATGTATGGAACCTAATTCCTTTTGACCGGAGAAATCGGCTTCTGAATGCGTTTTTTAGAGAAAAATTCGAGGATTTCTATTCGATACTCTTTTGGATAAGAGCGACTATGTTGAAGTCGACAATTAAATTGTTTCAAAGAAAACATGCCCTGCGGGCTCTTCAAAATAGATGTGAGGTATTAATAATTAGTATAGGTAATAGCATGATTTGTAGTGGTATTTGGCATAAATACCTCGAGTGATATTTTAAAATTGTTATACGTAATTTCACGAGCCGTTAGGCGAGTGAAATTTGAGACAATTTCGAAATATCACAAGTGGTATTTATGCCAAATATCAGGTACAAATCATGCTATTATTTGTTTATACTACTACCCACAAAAGGTTTGTAATTTTCACATGTAGGTATTTCAAATTAAGCTGAAACACCACCGCTCTAATAAGCCAATCAAATTTCAGAAATTTCTCATGTAGTAGTATAAGTATGTGTAACCAAATGGCGACGAGTGAAATTAGGGAATAATTTCACGCGCGTTTTGTCCAAATCCTTATAATTTCCCGAGCCCTTAGGCGAGGGAAATTATTAGGATTTGGACAAAACGCAAGTGCAATTATTCCCTAATTTCACGAGTATACCATTTGATTACCTATTAATATCATGGGTGACGAATTACTTTAGCAATCGAGGATTTTTGACTTGTTTATCCTGGATCAATCGTTTGTGAACTCCATTCTCTCAAACGTTTAGAGCTGAAATTTGGCTTAAGTTTTCAGAATTTATCGACAACATACCCCTAAGAATCCTTCTTGATGTGCTCTTTCGTGTGTTCAGGTTTTCTAAAGCGTCTTTTTATGCCCTGACATCTTCATTCATGACATTTTAAAACTTCGTCGCCATTATGAAACGGAGACTTACGGGCAGGTTGCCATGGCAATTTAGTAATTTCACATGTGAAATTACAAATTAATGCTCAAATTTCGCGCCAAAATTAAGGAGTAATTCGTCACCTATGATATTGAGGTAATAAATAAGCCGTGCAGGGCATCAAATTTTGTTCTTTTTGTAGAATTATTATTACTATCGCTAGCTTTCGTATTTTTTTCCTTCTAGTCCTCTTTATCTTGCGCCTAGATTAGCTTAAGCCAAGTACGGGTTGGGTGAAATATTTCCTTTTCCCTTTTTAGTTTAATTTATTACTTACAAACTTTTTCATGTGAAATAAAGTTGTTGTTGTTGTTGTTGTTGCTACTGGTTTTCTACGATGGCATTTTGTTAAGAAAAACTATATTTATGCCATCTTTGAAACTCACAGGCCCGGGAAGGCATCGTACTTTCAAGCCAAACTTAATTTAACTTTGTCTAGCTTAGCATTTGCCCAAACGGAATCGAACACTTCTGTTTTTGATCATCACAAAACTTCACGAACGCGACTTAGTTTGAACTTCTAATCGCCACCTAGTATTTTATGATCGCAGCATAACAGCGCCGGTGGAGGGGCCGGCGGGAGGCGGAAGGGGATGAGGGAGAGCAGTCAGTGCTATTGCGGCTTTTTAAGTTTTAGTCACAAACTACTTTGCGA